ACAGCACAGGGAGTTTTACAGAGATTGAAACCTGTGCAGCAGTCCTTGTCAGGGGATATAAAACCTCCTGTCCTGGCTGTCAACCAAGGTGGGATAATTTTTACCCCATTTTTCCTTCATCTTGTTCCCAAATGAAGAAATTTGATATTTACATGACATTATGTAAAGAGAAGTGAAGAGAATATCTGGGAAACTTTTCTTAACAATTTTTGTTGGGATTTCTATTGTGTCACTCTGAGAAGAATTTAATGAAGGATAAAAATAGTTATCTGTAGGAACTGGAATTCACATAAATGCCAGATATTAACCAGGCAGCAAGTCCCTTGTATGGTCAAAATGACACAGTTTCTACAGTGCTTCTATTTTCCTCGGTGCTCACATCTTGCTGTCTAGAGCTGGTCCATATAAGTGTCATAAAAGTTTAGCTTTCTATTTTCTTAGCTTTATTAAATAACCCCTATTCACTGCCTGGGTGAACACATTTTAGAAATAGAGTTAACATACCTCATCCAAGTAGTATTTACCTTACAATGAATCGAACTATGAAAAAAAATAGTTAAATACTTAATCTTTTCCTACCATGTCTCATCTTACCCATCACTTTTAATTATCCAGGCAATTTAACAATCATGACCTAAATAAATTTGTTCTGTGCTCGATTTATTACCTCTAATAAAACTCCATTTTTTTAATGTGGAACTAACTTAATTCCATCTCAACTTTTCAGTGTTTAATAGTCCTAAACTACAATACACATTGATTCATCATGTGGTGGATTCACCATCCCTGGAGGTTTTCAAGATGAGACTGGACGTGGCACTTAGTGCCATGGTCTAGTAACCATGGTAAGGTTGGACTTGATGATCTTTGAAGTCTTTTCCAACCTGGCTGATTCTATGATTCTATGATTTACTCAAGTCCAGAATACATTTGCTTTCAAGAACATGCACAGACATGCAGACACATACAAAAGCTAAAGAAAACAGTAAGTGTAAAGGTAGAAAATTCGATTAGCAACATCCCGAAAGCAAAGGAAAGACTTCAACAAGCCTTGCAGCTGTTTCTTGTGGAAATGATACTGGAGAGCTGTTTGCTTCTGTAGGGATCAGAGTGTGGGAATGAAGGATATTTAACAGCTATTTGGAGCGTGTGAGCTAAGAGGTGCTCAGCAGCTTGCCAGCTCCCACTCTCAGCACATAGACTCCATACTCTCTAACTTACTTTGCCAGAATGACTCCAAAATTTGTGTTTGCTTTGCTGGCAGGGCTGCAGTGTAATGGCAAAGGATTATATCTAGGCCCTGTGGTTTGTTCAAGAATGTCTGATATCCTCCAGCATGATTTGTTGTTAACTCACATCTGATATCGTCAGATTTATTTTGGCTGAATAACCCTGATTTTGCCTGGGTTTAGTGTCAGAATTGCTTAGCAGAGGAACTTCCAGACTGCTGAATTGCTTTCTTATGTTTCCACCCAGCTCCTCTGTAGTTTCTCAATTACTTATTTAAGCCATTGATAATGAGACAATGATACAAGGAGATTCTCACAGTTTGTGTGTGTCCCTCACTGTGGAATAAGGTGCTGGACAAATAAATCACTATTCTGCTTTCCTCTTATGGATTACATCTTTGCATGATTTGGGTTTTCACTTACACTGGAGTAAATCAGGGGTGACTTGCACCACCTCCAGTAACCCCCTATCAGCAAAAAATTACTGGGAAAGAACCTTTGGCAATACTCTTAGCTGTATCATTCATAAGACACGAGTTATGCTTCTGAAAATCTAAATAGATTAAAATACTAAGTTAATACATGGAAGAAAAGTTGCTACAACCCTTTTAGTCCTCAGCAGAAATGCTTACACTGGGTGATTGCACAGAGCCACCTGAGAACTATCACTACCCTGGTTTTAAGCAACATAACCTCAACACATGTGAACTTTTTCTCTAGATTAAAATGCAAGGCACTTCGAGACTGTTCATTTTTGCGCATAAAATCTTAATTATGTACATGACTCAACATTCACTTCAGAGGAGATTTGGCCCACAACACTTTTCTCCTCCAGAATGCTTTGTTGAGGTGGCTGTGGAGACGGAAGTTCAATGCAGTCATAGAACCACAGTATGGTTTGAGTTGGAAGGAACCTTAAAGCTCATCCTGTTCCAACCTCCTGCCATGGGCAGGGACAACTTCCACTAGACCAAGTTGCTCCAAGTCCCATCCAGCCTGGCCTTGATCAAACACACCCCTCAGGCTCACCAAGACACCGCTGTACCATCCACTCTGCAAAGCTCCAACACCCACAGTGCCAGGACACTTGGGATTTCTAGGTAATTGCAGGACCTTGCCCTGGGGACAGGATTTTGGTCCCTGTACCTTCATTTTGTCCTTGGGTAGCCACTAGTCTGTCTTGTCATCATTTCAGGCTGAAAACTGAAGCTCCTGTTATGCTCTTTAAGCTTTTAATTACACTGTAATAATTATTTAATCTTCCTTGTATGTATTTTATGGTTGAAAACAAAGCCTGTGCTGTCACATTGGATTTAGTTCTAGCTTTCTCTGCTAAAGAGTCCTGAAAATTGTCCTGCAGACAGAGAATGAATGGTACATGGTTCAGAGCTGGAGCTGAGTTAGGATTCAGTTCTTCAGGCTTCCTACGTGGCAATAGACAACACACTTGGCTGCCCATTCCCAGTCTATGAAACAGGGGCAATGTATGCTCCTGCCCCACAGGAGGAGTTTGGATATGGTGGCTGCAAAAGCCCATGAGGACTTTTTATAAAGTTCCACATTTTTGAGTAGGACTTCCTTATATGGCATTGCCTTAACTCAGCCGTGTTGGGTGACAGTCTGACTTGTCACAAAAATTGAGCTAAGAAAGCCAGGATTATAGCAAGGGCTGCAAAGCAGATAACTTTATTAGCTAGTCATTGCTTATTCTCATTCAGATGGCTCCTAATTAAACAGAAAAAGCACAAATTTCCCATCTCACCTAGTGGGAGATTTACTATTGAAATTCTCAGATAAGCCTTTCTTGATGGTCTCATTTGCTTTTTAATGGGTAATCCACTCAGCTCTTTCAGGTGTTTGCCCTGCCAAGGCGAACCTAGGAGTAAGCAGCGCCTCAGCTTTAGTGACACTCATTTGGAAACTTCAGCCATTCCTTTATCTCCAAAAGGCACATCAAGTGGCTGGGATCAATCACTCAGATTTTGCGTTCCAAAATAGTCAACAAGCTCTGCGTTTTATGGACCAGAATAAAGTAAACTACTGGTGCAAATAAAACTTTACCGGTTGATCTTCGTATTGTGTAAAGGCCAGTAATCCTCTGTACACAACTGAAGCTAGGAAATAATTTACTTGAAATACACCTATTTAGATTTACAGGGTTAAGGCTTTTCCTCCTGAGAAGAGGAAGCATGTTTTCAGCATGTTTAAATAAGCTTGAAGTACAAATCTCTCTCGGCCCTTTTTGGCGCTTGCAACTGCCAATGTGATTTTCATTATCTTTCATTCTGGCTGCTTCTCTATCTGATTCCCCCTTAGTGCAAGACTAATGAGGCAAATCAAAAGAGGCAACAATGAAAGATGTGGGGACTGTCTGACTAGATACTCTTTGTGCCATGTAATCTGAAAGTGAAGCAAAATTTCCTGCCTGCTATTTATCACTAACTGAAACCACCACTGCAAACCTTACTGGTCATTGTCCTTTTTTTCCTCTCGTAGCTCTGATAAGAACAGAAATACACTCTTTTCTTTTTTCTTTTCTTTTCTTTTCTTTTCTTTTCTTTTCTTTTCTTTTCTTTTCTTTTCTTTTCTTTTCTTTTCTTTTCTTTTCTTTTCTTTTCTTGTCTTTTTTTCCGCAGTAGCAGAGAAACTCTTAACCATCTTTACCAGGAAAGACCCTGAACGAGTCCCTCACTGTGGAGGCTCTGTTATAATTGGATATCTTAACTAAAAATTACATCTCACTTTCAGTAAATCCTGGCAATTTCTTAGCGGCTGAACTATAGCAAATTCAGCCCAAGGTTACAATGAGCACATGGTTCAGCCCAGAAAACCCTCATTTGTACAGCAAATGAGACATCTAGATAATTTGAACAGGACTGCATT